AGGTCACAAGAACACAGGGCACTCTTTATGTAAGTTATGCAGGGAGTACAGAAAACTCTTAGTAGCCAAAAAAATTGTCAGAAGTCCTGACCGTTTATCAAGATTGTGATTAGGAGGAATTCAGATCACAGAAAATACTTTAGAATGTCTTTCCTCTTGAAATATTTTTAAAAGACCTTGTCCACATATCCTTTAAATTGTATCTTTGATGGCTTAGCTTGAGAGTCCTAGGGAGCCTGGCGGTGGAATTCCTACTAAGACCAAGAGACCTATGGCGATGCCACAGATGGAGGGGTGGGAGGCTCTTTGAGTGATGTCTTCATTTCCCATCCCGGAAGCCCTGAGACGGTTGAAGACCTGCAGTGATGGCAGGGTGCCAACTCTGGGGAAAACTCCACGGCTTTTAACTTGAAATCAGAAGATGACATTTAGACACTTGTTAATCTTATGTTAAACACTCTGAATATCCAGTTACACACACACACACACACACACGCACACACGCACGCACACACACACGCACGCATGCATACGCATGCACGCACGCGCACACTCAAATGTTTTCTTTCTTCTTTGGAGACTTATGAGTGCTTGTTCCAGGGGCCTCCCTGCCTTCAGCCCTGTTTACCTCACTACTGGGTGTATTTCTGAACAACAGCATTTCTATGCAAAGTATGTGGAAGGAATCTTCGGTCCACCAGAATTTGAAAAATGAATAACTGATTCATGAGCATGATTTTACAAGCACATTTAAGTCTAGAGATATAAGAAATTGTCTATGTAGAGGAAAAAGCTCTCAAGGTAAATATTAAAAATATCCTTGGAGTGCATGAGACTCTGAGTCTACTATTAGTGTTATGGTGGTTTTAGAAATCAAACTTTAAAGCTTTTACTGAGGTGGCTGTCTCTACATCTTATGCATGAAACAGAAGACTTTGTCCTTCTATTTTAAAGAATAAAATTAATTTTGAATTACCAATAAAATACGCAAAAATTATACAATAGCCTTTTGCAAAAAAATTCCTTGGTTTTCATTATTTTGGTGGTTTTTAATTTTATGTATTTTTGTGTTTGTGTGTGTGTGTGAGACAGAGAGTGACTAGAAAGAAAGACCTAGTGATCTGCTTCTGAAAACCAGCCAGTGAAAACCGTATGGATCACAGTGGTTTGATCCATAACCAATCATGGGAATGTCAGAGGAATGGGAATACCACAAGACCAGGCAGTATTTCATTCCATTATATGTGGGGTCACCATGAGTCAGGGGCCAACTCAATGGCAGCTGACAACAACATTTTGCTAAAAAGGTTCATCTAGTGCTACTCTCACAGAAATACCACAAGTGGATGGCTTTAACAAAGAGAAATTTATTCTCTCACAGTCCAGTAGGCTACAAGTTCAAATTGTCAGCTCCAGGGGAAGGCTTTCTGTCTCAGTCGACTCTGGAGGAAGATCCTTGTCATCAGTCTTTCCTTAGTCTGGGAGCACCTCAGCGCAGGAACCTCAGGTCCAGAGGACGCACTGCTTTCTTGGTGGTTTCAGGTCCTCACTCTCTGCTTGCTTCCCTTTCCTTTGATCTCTTGTTAAGAGAAAAGGTGGAATAGGCCACACTCCAGGGAAACTCCCTTTACATTGGATCAGAGATGTGAACTTAGTAAGGGTGTTACAATCCCACCCTAATCCTCTGTAACATAAAATTACAATCACAAAATGGAGAAAACCACACAGTACTGGGAATCATAGCCTAAACAAGTTGACATATTTTGGAGGGACACAATTCAGTCCATGACAGAAACCATGTCACTATCTGAAGTACTTTTAAATATATAAATATTTGTAAACATTTAATTTTTTTTCAGAAGCTGAAATAGAATATATGTGATGATTTAATTCTGAAAGTAGATAAAATATTAAAGTTTTAATGACTCAGACCTACAGAAAAATGTGACATAAGGTGGGCGGTAGAAAGAGCACTGAATTTGGGTCAGCCTGCAGCTGTCTAGCTGGGTGCCTTGGGCAGGTTATTTGAGCCCTTCTCTGTTTCCTCAGAGTCTTTGTGGGGTGGCCCAGCTTAGGGTCCCAGCCTTTGAAGGATGTCCCTGCCCTGAGTGGGGAAGGGAGTGAAGGAGATTTAAAGACACTGAATTGGGAAAGGAGTTGAGTGCCTGGGGCTTGGGGAGGTGGCACCAGTGTGGTCCAGGACAAGCTTCTCCTATTTCAGAATCTTTCCTAGGCTGGCCCTGGGAGGAGGGAGCCCCTTCACAAAAGTTCTGCTTGGTCATTCAGAATTCAAATGACCCCAGCGGGGGTCATCAGCTCTATGTGTACAACTGGAGGGGAGGCCTTTGCTTGGCTTCTCCACCCATTGAAACATCTGTTTACTCTGGCCCACATTACTGGTGGAGATTGACACAGACAGTTCCTTACTGTGCAAAGGGAAAATGAAGTGTTTTGTTTCCTAATACCAGAGCAGCTTTCTTGTGGTGAAGAATCAAAAATGTCCCCACATAGTTAAGGGCTTAGGAAAGTAATTCTAGTCCTTTTTGGTAGACTGAGAGAATCTCCTTCTTATGAGTTTCTGAAGACATTTATGTTCTTCCAGTGGTTATTTTGTTGTTATTTTTTTGTTTTTGTCTTATATTACGGGTAAGGACCAAACGGTGATTAATACATCAAACAGGGAAATCAGTTGAGAACTACTTTCTGTTATATCAATTGTGAAAGATAGTTGTTGGTTAAGGAAGTTGTTAGCATACTAGTGGTTTTGACTATGTACTGTGAAAATAAGATGCAGAATAAAACCTTACCTACTCCAGCTAATTGAAGCATTCAGTTTTATTTGCTATGAGTCAGAATCTACTCAATGGTAATAGGTTTGTTTGTTTATTGCAGCTAATTGAGGCATTCAGTTTTAGTATTTCCATATATATATAAGAAAGAGAGTATGCTGAAGAAAGAATATTTCGGGAACCTTTAATAAATTGACAAGACTCATTTGTAACAAATACAGTGAAGGGAGCTTCTAAAGCTTCTGTGAGGAAGTGTAACAAAATCCTAGCATCCGCCTGTGAGCGGCCATCTAAGATACTCCACTGGTCTCATCTCTTCGGGAGCAAGTGAGAATGAAGAGAACAGGATACAACGAAAAGATTAGTCCAAAGGACTAATTGTCCACAGCTACCAAGACCTTCACCGGACTGAGTCCAGTACAGCTAGATGGTGCCCGGCTACCACCGCTGACTGCTCTGACCAGGATCACAACAGAGGGTTCTGGACAGAGCTGGAGAAGGATGTAGAGCATAATTCTAACTCACAAAAAAAAAAGACCAGATTTACTGGCCTAAAGGAGACTGGAGAAACCCCGAGAGTATGGCCCCCAGACACCCTTTTAGCTCAGTGGTAAAGTTACCTTCGAGGTTCACTGATCAGCCTCCGAGTGGACAGCCCAGTAAAACCATGAGAGTAACGAGGTACAGGAGTCCAGTGACAAGGCCCAGAAGGCAGAAGGGGAGTAGGAAGCTGATGATAGGGAACACAAAATAGAGTAAGGATATTGTTGATGTGTTGTGAGATTGTTAACCATTGTCGTAGGGCAACATTTGTAGTAACTGTCAAATGGGAGACTATTTTGTCCTGTAAGCCTTCATCTTAAGTGAGAATAACAGCATAATTAGAAGAGCGTAGTCAATGTCACTTAAATGTGTATGTAAAAACAATTTTTGAAATGGCGTATCTTTGGCTATGTGTATTTTCACCAAAAAAAAAAAAAAGTTGAGTATTTAGAGGGTTAAAATGTTGTGGGGTTGTTAACCAATGTCATAAAACAGCATGTGTGTTACTGTTACATGAGAAACTGTCTGTTCTGTAAGCCTTCACCTGAAGTACAATAAAATATTTAAAAAAAAAAAAAAAAAATCCTAGCATCCACTGCGTGCCTCTGGAGGCCAGGCAATGTGTAAAGTTCTGACATTCCTCATTTGGTCTTTTACAACGGTTGTGCTGGTTGTGTGTGTGTGTTGCCTCAGGTTTGGGTGGGTTACGATCAGTGTATATCACATCTTGGGTTCATCTCACTTTGAAATAGGTAAGTGACTTTACTAAGTGTTTTGACCTATAGATGATTTAAAAACAGTTTGACTTAATTCTTAACTCAATCTCTGAAAAAGATTTAAGTTCTCCCTGCCCCGAGAGTCTCATTTATATAGTTTAGTTACTGAACATTTATCTTTTTCTTATAACTAGTACAAAGGCAAATTTGAAAGTAACAACATGAAATTGGTGAATGTGTTCATTGCCCTACCCTTTTTTTCTCTGTTTTTCTGCCCATCAGAATCAAAACGGAGCCCTGGTGGCGCAGTGGTTAAGAGCTTGCCTGCTAAAGAAAAGGTTGGCAGTTTGAATCTGCCACCTGCTCCTTGGAAACCGAATGGGGTAGTTCTACTCTGTCCCATAGCGGGGCTATGAGTTGGAGTCAATGGCAACGGGGTTTTGGATTTGGACAATCACAGCGTAACTGTCCTTGGAACTGGTGAAACCTGAGTGTACTCTGTGGATCGTGCCCATGTCCATGTCCTGTTTTTGATGTTGTGCCATAGTTATGCAGGATGTTAACGCCGAGGGAAACTGGGTGAAGGTACATGAAACTTCCTTGTACTTTTTGTTTTTGCAGTTTTCTGTGGATTTGTACTTATTCCAAAATACAAATTTAAAACAAACAAAAAATAACTTCTCAAGAATCCTTACCTGAGCTCCTTGCTGCCTGGCAGGTATTCAGGAAAGACTCTTTGGCTCGATGTTAAGTGACTACCAAGTATTAAGTCCTGGGTGGTTTTGTCCATATAACAGATTGTTGTCTTGTAGATGCAGGTGCTCCATAAATGCTTCTTGAGTGTCATTGTCTCTAAGTCACCTTGTTAATGGAGAAAAGAGATTTTTGAGTATGATATCTGTCTACTCACTTCAGATCATACCATTTGGCCCCATTACTTGCCCATGCAGGGGCAGTGGTGGTTCACTGGTAGAATTCTTGCCTTTCATGCAGGAGACCTGGGTTTGATTCCCAGCCACTGCACCTCATGTGCAGCCACCACCCATCTGTCAGTAGAGTCTTGCCTGTTACTATGATGCTGAACAGCTTTCAGTGGAGCTTCTACACTAAGACAGACTAGGAAGAAAGGGCTGGCGATCTACTTCCAAAAATCAGCCAATGAAAACCCTGTGAATCATAATGGTCTGATCCACAACCATCATGGGAATGGCACAGGACAGGGTAGCATTTTGTTCCATTGTGCTTGGGGTTGCCATGAGTCAGGGGCTGACTCAAAGGCAGCTACAACAGCAACTTACCCATGCAAATGGGCCAACCCCTGGCTCCACTAAATAATAGGAGCAAGAATGGCAAGAGCTAAGTGACACTCTTTGGGCACTCAGTATGTGCCAGGCTCAGTTATGAGTCCCTTACACATATTAAATCATTCAAGCCTCAGAATATCCTGTGAGGTCATGAAAATTAAGCAGTTATAAACGTGGTAAGTTTAAACAATAATTAAACAACGTCCCTAGTTTCAAAATAGTTTACTCTATAAGGGGCCTTAGTGAACGCAGTGAATCCTCTTAGCTAAACAAATAAACAAAAAAATTTCCTTTTGAATTATAATGTAAACAAAAGAAAAACTTTGAAATTGTTTAATTGTCCTTCCCTTCTGAGGATAAATACTGGCAGTTATCCATGACTCCTGCTATTTTTGCTAACCCCTGCTATGTTTAGCTTTTTGACACAACCAAATTCTAGATCACAATTTTTAGTAAATAACTCATAGTGAGGCTAATATTTACTTTTGGCAATAGGCAAGTCCACAGTGTTTCAAATCTGGCTCTGTGCTGGGGTAGACATAGGAAGTAATAACGAGGTTCTCGGGTTAGAGTGTGCAGATAGGAGCTTCCCAGATGTCTCAGCTGAGCTGGGAGGAGGAGAGCATTTTGTGTACTCAGGGCTGCCCTTCCAGGCTGACCGGCCTCCTCTGCCTCTCACTGTCGGGCATCAGCTGGCATCTACTACGTATCTGGAAGAGGCAAAGTGAGGAGAACAGAAGCCTCATTCTGGCCCAGCCACTGACTGATGAGGCCATTGCTTCCCAAAGTGTGTTCTGGGGACCAGCAGCATCAACACCATCTGGGGACTTGTTAGAATTCTCAGGCCCCACCCCAGACCCACAGAATCAGAGACTGTGGGGGTGGGGCCCAGGAGCCTGTGTTCTAACAAGCCTTCTGTCTTAGTCATCTAGCGCTGCTATAACAGGAATACCACAAGTGGATGGCTTTAACAAAGAGAAGTTTATTCTCTCACAGTCCAGTAGGCTAGAAGTCCAAATTCAGGGCATCAGCTCCAGGGAAAGTCCTTCTGTTTCTGTCCGCTCTGGAGGAAGGTCCTTGTCATCAGTCTTCCTTGGTCTGGGAGCATCTCAGTGCAAGAACCTCAGGTCCAAAGGATGTGCTCTGTTCCCAGCACTGCTTTTTTGGTAGTATGAGGTCCCCCTGTCTCTGCTTGCTTCTCTCTTTTATATCTCAAAAGAGATTGGCTTAAGACATTATCTAATCTTGTAGATCTCATCAATGTAACTGCCACTAATCCATCTCATTACATCACGGTGATAGGATTTACAATGCATAGGGAAATCGCATCAGATGACAAAATGGTAAGACAATCATACAATACTGGGAATCATGACCTAGCCAAGTGGACAGATATTTTGGGGGGACACAGTTCAATCCGTGACACCTTCCAAGTGATTCTGACGCAGGCTGATGTTTGAGAGCCATTGGCCTAGATTGTCAGGGACCCTGGGTGGTGCATGTGGTTTGCAGCAGACTACTAACTGAAAGATTGGCAGTTCTGCACCCAGCCAGCAGCTCTGCAGGAGAAAGACCTGGCAATCTGCTCCCACTGAGATTATAGCCTAGAAAACCTTAATGGGGAAGTTCTATTCTGTTGCGTGGAGTTTCCATGAGTCGAAAATTGACTTGACAGCACCCAGCACAGCAATAAAAACAACAACTAATCAAAAGGTTGGTGGTTCAGACCCACTCAGAGGCACCATAGAAGAAAGGCCTGCTAATCTGTTTTCATAAAGGTTACAGCCAAGAAAACCCATGGAGTGAAGTTCTACTTTGTGACACATGGAGTCGCCATGAGTCAGAATTGACTGGACAGCAGTGGGTTTGGTTTTTTTGGTTTGGAATAGATCACCTTAGGTGATCCCCTGTCCAGGCTCCAGTTTCTTCTTCTATAAAATGAAATATTTATAATCAACTATTTCTAAGGCCCCCCCACCCCACACCCAAGCCATATATCCCAAGCTCTCCAATTCTATAAATCAGTGATACAAATTTACAATCTGGCAGCACTGCACAGCGATTAAGAGGACAGACTCTGAAATCTAACTGTTGGATGCCTCCAGTTAGTAGCACTGTACATCTGTGCAACCTTGGTCTTCATCCATAAACTGGAGATAATAACACCAGCATCCTAAGGAGGTTGTGAGGGATTGACCTAAAACATGTAGAACAATGCCTAGTGCATAGGAAGTACTCATACATTAGCTGTTAGCATACCTCTCTTTCTCTCCCCATAAAAAATGCTAAAAATTTGAGGACTGGAATTAGCGCTTGTACAGCATTATTTCCTGTATGTGGGCTGTATGTTTTAAAAAGCTCTTAAGCACTAAAGAAATGCAATAATAAATTAATATTGTTAAAAAATTGCCCATAGGAAGGCTTCACATTGGGGTATGTCTATGGATGGCACAGAAACCTGAATTTTTAAGGAATAAACTATCATTCTTTAGGAAGGCATTGGTGATTGTTACAAATCTAACGATGGTGATATATGTGAGACCTGTGATTGCTTCCTTGTAGCTAGAAAAATATATATAAATAATTAATATACATTATATTTTATATAATATTTTGTTGTTAGGAGCTGTCAAGTCGGTTCCGACTCATAGAGACCCTATGTACAGCAGAATGAAACAAACACTGCCCGGTCCTGCCTGGTCCATCCTCACAATTATTGTTACACTTGAGCCCATCATTGCAGCCACTGTGGCAATCCATCTCATTGAGGGTCTTCCTCTTTTTCACTGACCCTCTACATTATATAATATAAATACATATCATTATTATTTATAATATATAAAATAGACAATATAATAGCATATGTAAATTAATATAAATTTTAAAATTTAAAAAGCTTAGAGTGATGTGTATTTTAGGTTCTTTTTAATCATCACTCTATACATTAATTGTCTATATATAAATGAAGGAGCCCTGGTGGTGAGTGGTTAAGCACTCAGCTGCCTGTCAGGAGCCATGCACCATGATGGATGTGTATAAGTGTTCTGTCACTTAAACTAAATGGTAACCCTGTAGAACAAAGATAGTTCCCTGATTTTAGAGAGACCAAGGTTGATTGAAGTCAAATAATCAGAACATGATCATACTGAGTCATAGGTCCAAGCTTTGAATTTAGGTGTATCTCATTCCATAACTCACCCTTTGATATCACTAGTTTAAAATATAAAACTAAATTTTCAAGAGATGGTGCACAGACAGCTTTTGCTACTTCAGAAACACAGCTGGACAACCCAGTGTTTGTCAGAAGCTTCCGTGTATGGACCACCTTCTGCAGGGTACGGGGACCCTTTCACCATCAACAGTGCTTCTCTCATTTGTTCCTGCAAAAAGCAAGGAACCTCACCTGGGCCTGTACTTTGGTCTTCATCCTTCTCCCTCTGTCTTGTGGGCCTTTGGATGAGAAAATGGCCAAGGTACTTGAAGAAGTGAGTTGCCATGGAGGAGAAGCCAAACCCAAGCTTTCAGTCTCGTAATAAAAAAATCCTACTATTCCTTACTGCCTTTCTCCTCACCCACTTCCTTGTCCTGACACTGAGCTGCTTCCTGTTTGATTATTCAAAATGAAAACCGGTTGGGATGCCCAGGTGGTCCACTGGTGGTTCTTAGAGTTTGAGTCACTTAATACTTAAAATACAGTTTTATTCTGTCCACTGGAAAGTATATTCTACTTGAATAGCTACTTTTTCTTGTAGTAGAAAAAAATCAATCTAGAAAATGCTTTGATTTTTTGAATAGAATTTTACCTTAATTTGGAGGTACGCCAGTATTCTTGCGACACAACCATGGCTCTTAACCTTGGCCACACGTAAGAATCAGTTTAAGAAGAAAATGCTAGTACATGGGTCTTCCCCCAGAGAATTTGCTTTTATTTTTCTTTTTTTTAAATATGTTTGATGACTGTTTAAAATCTTGATTTTTGAAGACTTGCAGAATTTTATGTATCATTTTTATATAGTTGAACATACTTGATACCTTTGAATTTGCTTATATACTGTAATTGTCCCTGAAAATATAACTAAATTAATTTCAAGTCTTTTCAGTTTAGCTGACTTAGTAGAATCTTCACTCTGGTGAAGACTGGGTATCCATTTTCATGAGAAGTTAAAGACTGAAAGTGTAACATAGTGAATATTTATTTTCTATTGGCCCTTGAATTTCAGAGTTCAAAGTATCCTCAATGGTTATGATCTAACTCTATTATTTACCTGTTAGAATGCTGAAAATCAGCCTTAGTTGATTTTTTGAAGTAAGGGAGAATATGGCCAGAACCCCAAATGCAAGCCTACCACTGCCCAACCTTCCATGTCCACGCTAGACCTCCGAGGGTAGGGAATATCCATGGCAGGAATGCACTCTTAATTTTACTTTGGCTTCAGACCCAAATCTTCATCAGCTCTCCTTCCAAAGGAGTTGAGCAGCATCTCACAGGGGTCTCAAGGATTTCTCTTATCCCTTAAAACAAGCCCAAATCTAGAGAAAGAGTGGCTTTTCCCACTATGTGCCTCACCCTGGACCCAACCTGATTCCCGATTAGCTCTACCTATAATCCTTTATTCCTCTTTTGAGGAGCCTACTTTTAAATCCTTGAGGGTCTCTATTTTTCACTGACCCCATCAAAGCTCTTCCTCTTGGTGTGATGGAATGGGGCAGGGGAAGGCT